TATTTTTTTTTTATTGTTCTTTTTTTCCTTATTTTAAATAGGGGCTAGGGATATTTTTAATAATGAGATTGTGTCAGAAGACAAAACTATATCAGTAATATATAGATATATTGAGCTCTTTATTAATATGTATTTAAGTAGTTCCCATATATTTATTGTCAGTCATTTTATTTTTTTATATCAATAAGTGATTTTTTTCTTGAAAGCTGTTCTTAAACTGTGACATTAATGCCCTGATCTCTTACATAAAACCACTTCTCCCTTCATATTGGTATAGCCCCTAAAAGGCTATCATGAAACTTCTGAATTTATTATTATTTCTTAGACCATTATTTAGACTCCAGGCATCAAATACCCCAAATAGAATGCTACAAAGAAAAAACAGTTAGCCTTCTTGCTAGTATTATTTTGTTAATCAAATCTTACTTTAAAAAAAATACTGGTTATTTTCCTTACATTCAGTTAACTAGACAGTTATTGAGTGTCTCCTGTGGGTCCGAGTATACTGCCTCGTGATTCTGAGGAACATTGAATAAGACCCAGTCCTAGCCTTCAAGGAGTGTTTTGTGAATAGAAATTCAGGTTAGAAAAAGACTTTCTCTTTTGAAGGTATTTAGAAAAAGATTTTAACATGTTTGTTTACTCAGAGACCTTTTTGATGAGCTAGTTTATGAAGTGTTTTAATAGAGCACTTTATCTTTTCAAGAAAATAGCATCTCAATACCTATGCATAATAATTGCTACATTAGAAAACTTTGAAATTGTATCTGTTTTTTTTCACAAGCAAGCATTAATAAACTGTTTGAAACTTTGGTTCATGGATTGGTTTGGTTTTCAGTTACAGCTTTCTTCCTAGCCACCATAATGGGTGTGAGATTTAAGAGATCCAAGAAAATAATGCCTGCTGGGCTGGTAGCAGGTTTAAGGTAAGAAAAACTATTTTGATCGATGTTATCCTCTGGCATCATTTTGAAGTGCTGAATTTTTGGCAAAAATCTATTTTAATTGGAAAGGCCAAAGACATTTTTATTACAATATGTATTAATGTGAAAAGCTGAAAATATCATGGATTCATTTGGTCTTTGTTATTGATGTGTACAAGAACAGTCTTACCAGATACATAGTGTTGCTATAGTATCTGATCACATGTACACACTTTCCTTTTTCAGAATAAAAAAAATAAATTCAGCCTCGTTTTTCCTCAAGATTTACCCACCTGAAGAAGTAAATGTATTAATTAAATCTAACAGTCTCTTTTTGAGATTTCTACAGCATGACTGATGCAGTTATTTTGAGTTTTTAAGGTAGAGAAATTTAATATTTTTTAAAAGGATAAATAGGGAGCCTCAAGTTTCTTTTAATTTGACCCAGTAATTCTGTTTATGAGAGTAAGCATATTACTAAGTAAAAATTTAGAAATAACATTTTAATTCTTCCTGGAAGCTGCCTTTATATGTTGAAAGCCATAAACATGTTCATTTCCTATGTACATTTTCACTTTTTGGAATTTATTCCAAAGAAATGAGATGTACACAAAGACTAATGTTCATTGCAACTTTATCTCTAGTGGAAAACATGATAAATGGAAAAATTAGGAACATCCTAAAAGTTTACCAATAAGGAAATGTTTAAATAAGACCATTTAATGGAATGTTGAGCAGGAATTACATGTCATGTTTTCAAGAAGTATTTAGTGGCATTGGAAAATCTTAATGACATAATAAGATGTAAAAACAGCTTCAAAAACAACCAAATCCAGTGTGGTCCCAATTTTTTTAAAAATGTTTGTGTATAAAAAGCCACGGTAGGAAGGAAGTACCTCAAAGTGTTAGTAGTGTTTTTTTCTGGATGGTAGCATAATGAATAATTTAATGTTCTTCTTTGTCCTTTTCTGTAGAATTTTCTAGTGTGGCTATGCATTATGTTTCTGGAGGGAGTGTAATTACAAATGCCTTCCAGTTACAGCCCTGTTCTAAAAATGATACTTGCTGGTGGGAAGAATCAGAATAGGTTTTACAGATCAAGAAGACAAGACCCCAGTCAATGGAAAGTGGCTGAGATTGTAATAATAACCCCCCAAAATTGCTCCTTGATTATTTTTTCAAGTTGTTTTACTTAACTAGCTTTTGAAAGTTTGTGTTTCTTTCAAAACTTTTCTGTTATAAACCCTCATCCCAAGTTTCCAGAACAACAAGTTTTGAATTTTCTCATTCATTGTGAACATTCTCAAGTGGCTACTTCAGTCATGTCTGGGAATTTAGAATGCAGGGAAGATGAGTTCACCTGGCTCCAAGGAGTAGAGCTGGGAGAAAGCCCTGGAAGCCAAGGCTTAATAACACTACAGGTTAGGCAAGCATGTGACCTTCTCTGTCTTATGCCAGCTAAGAGTGAC